GAGGTGGATATGGAGAGACGCAAAAAATTGCTCTCGACTTGATCTGGCCTTAATTAAATAAAAATGACCACATGCCGTGAAAATCTTAGAGGGGCTGGCTGTATAATGGTAGGGGAAACATTGAATGAAATATTTGTTGTCTGTCATTGTAGCTGGGATCATTTTACTTATTAAAGCTCATAATCTTACCACTTGAAACATCACTAGCCCTGAAGCTGCTGGTAGACATCGCGGTTGGAATTATCAAAGGTTTTTGACACCTGAGAGACACCGTAGCAACTCCTTTGAGTTTGGAAGCGGGGTGGGTGGGGGGTGGGGGGAGGACCAGGGAGGATGAGTCAACCACTCAACCACTAGATGTCGCTGAAAACAACAAATCCTACACACTGTGCCTTTAAAGATAGTTGTTCTTGCTTGTTGCAGTGTGTATTTCCTGCTCGTATATTAGTGAAAAAGACATTTTTACATCTTAAATGACCATCAGGATTTTTTCCTCTGTCTTTTGTAAAAAAATAAATAAATTCTCCACCTATGTGTTACAAGAAATTGGATTTAAAATTACAGCTTAACAAGTTGTTACAAGCAAACCCCTGAAAAGTGATATATTTGATCCTGTTAAACTTGCATGTGTCACACAGAATAACTCCTTAGTTGAGTGAAATGACATGAGAGTTCASGCCCCAGTTCATCTGTTGCCCTCACAAAGACGTTTGGTTATTCTGTTATTTCCCCTGAACATCTAAACCCTACCCTGCTGTCACTTTATTCTTTCTAGTTTAAGAAACTCAAGATATAAACAAACATGAACTGACGTCTTAAAACWTATCAAGTCACATTTGATGACTAAAACTTTAGAAACTGTTTTTTTTTTCCAACTAGTGTTCAACACTACACCTGTTAGGACCTGCAGATCTTATATTTTTAGTTGATTTGGTCACAAAGTTTATAGAAAATTTGTAAACAAATCTTTCTAAAATTGGCTTCCATATTTCCTACAAATAAAAGACTCAGCTCTTTTTGGTTTTCTGCTGGTTGTATCGTTTTACTAAGTGTGCAGACAACTTTGATTGCTAAAAGCGAAACAGAGAAACTGAAATGTTCAAATATGACTTGTACCAAACCTGACCTGTGACTCATAGGTGATTTGTTTTAATAACGTTTGTTTCCCTTCAAGTAATTTATGATGTCTACATCGTTGTTACACACTGACTTGGTTTCATTTTTTTACTTTCAGAAACTTGTAATGATTAACCGTTTCCAAATGGATGATGCCAGCATTCCAAGTCCTCTCCAGAGCATTGTTTTTGAAAAAGGCTGACCGAGAAACCTCACCACTTGTAAAATGGCAGAAGGCACATACTCTAAAGAATTTTTCTGCTTTTAATGAAAATCCACTTCTTTTGTATCGTCAGCGTGTTGACAACAGTTTTTTTTTTTCTCTTCTCTAAGCTGTCTTTTCTTCTGGAAATATTCATGTAAAAGAGGAGACTGTGGATTCAGATCCACATATGGGAACTAAAAATGTTTTTATTCAAAGTAACATCACTCTTTGACTTATTGTGACAATATGTTTGCAAAAGAATCCATGTGAAATGTTGGTCTTCTTGAACATTACTGCACTAACAGTGTCAATGAAGACGCATCATTGTCCATCAGTTACTCGCTCCTACTTACAAGGATGTATATTGATAACATCTTTCCTAAGTGACTTTGTTTTATATTGAGAGCTGCAAGCCTTCCTCGTTTCCCATAATATATTCTACTTCCATTTTTGCATAATAAAGTTAAAGAAATTAGTATTTTACAGACTGATGGGGGGGAAAGGGTGTATTCTGATTTGTGTCTTGAAGCTTAAAATATATTGTACTAAACCACATCTAATACTGCTTCTTGTTACCCTGTCACAGATGATTTTCCAGCTTTTATGAATGATTAAATTTTAGTACATTTTCATTAGTCTTGTTCTTTTTGTGTGTGTGTGTRTGTCTGAAATTGTCTTTGTTGGCCTTTGGCAAACTGGAGTGTTAAGCCTTTAAGCCTCAGAGAGTTTCAGCAGATGACTGAGCTGAGAGGAAGCAGCAGAGAAAGAAGAACCCGGACCTCCACCAGTTTCAGTGACAGGAAAGCAGAATAGAAACTAAGAGGAGGTCTCTAAGTCAGTCAGAAATACAGCTCCAAGTCTGAAGAAGTTTTGTAACAAATAAAAACAATGCATTTTTTTTATTAAGAACAAAACACAGCAAACAAGTCCTGCAACTAAGAAAATGTACAGTTTTGAGTAGAACAGCTGCAACACAAAGGTTGACAGGCTAAAAAGGTGTAGAAGAAGGTGGGACAAATGAGAACTGGAGGAACAAGATGTTATCAATTAGGTTAAATGGCTGCAGAGGACTGGGTGTAAAAAGCATTTCAGAGGTTGAAGAAGTAAAAATGGGCAGAGGTTCATCAGACTGGAAAAACTGCATCTAAAAATAGTGCAACAATAAATGGGCAGGCTTAATGACATCATTCGTGTTTTGTTTCAACTTTCCATTTTGAATGAAATAGTTTGAGATTTACAAATCATTCTGTACTTGTATTTTACACAACTTTTTTAGAGTTGGGGTTACATTAGCTATATAGCTGTTAAAATCCTGTTCATAAGTTTAAAAAGGGATGATCTGGACCTATCACCAGTTTAACAATGACTGGGTTGTAGTAGCCTTGTTTTTTAAATAGTCTAAGCTGAAAATTGACTCAAATATTTTTCCTGAAGACATTTGTCTCAGCAGGATTATAATCCCTGGAGACATGTTGAACACAGTATTGATTTGGCCCCCAAACTYTCCAGATCTTGGTCCAGTCAAGCTTCTGTAAAATGTCCTGGTCAAACGAGTTAGTTTCATGAAGAGCCACACCTCTGAGTTTGTGATGCCACCACAGACCTTCAGAGGCCTGATGGGARCTCATGGTTTCTATTAAAAGACCAAGGTTTGACTTACTGATAATCAGAAGTGTTTTGGAAACAAAACTAAATGTTGGATCATTTTGGTGGGAACGAGTGAGGTACAAGTTCTTACAACCAGTCTGTACACCTGTTTTRTATTGTATGTGCTCTATAAGCAGTGATAAGTGGAACATTAACTCAACCTATCACCTCTACTAAAGCAAAGAATGATTTGGCTTTACAAATAACCTTACTAAAGTTTTTTTGTTTTGCTCCATAAAGGGCTCCTTGCAGATTTTAAAGGCAGAAAAACTAGAACGTATGTAAAGGAACTGAATCCAGTTTTCAGATTTTTCAGGTCTCAAAAAGCGTAAAAAAAAATTAAACTGGATTTTTTTTCAGACATTGTTCCCTAGTGCTTTTCCAAAAAGAACAAAAACTGAATTTCTAGAAAATGCTCAAGAGTTCTCATTTTAATTTCAGCTGCTCCCTTCTGCAGGGGTTGCAACAGGAAGGATTTAGCAATCTTTTCATGCCAGATGCTCTTCCTGATGCAACCTGGGCTCAAAACTGCAACCATGGGCCTCAAATCTACCACAACCCCTTCTAAAAATGTATTTTTGACCTTTGGACAGAGTCGTTGTCGTGTTTTCATTTGCCACGTCAAACCAAAGCCATCAGTATTTGTTTGTAGATTGAGACAGGTTTAACAGATCTAATGACTGTTTGCAGCCTCTCCATATGTTGACATATAGAGTTTCTTCTCAGGGTATCACTTTGCTCAGTACACACCTGCAGATCATTAACAAAAAAAAAAATGCCTTCAGTTGCCAAGTCTTCAAACACTAAATCATTTTTTATTAAACACTTCAACTTGTATTAAAACCTTAAATTAAATACAAATGTAAGTATTGTTCCCTATACTGTCTATATTTTTGTGTAGCTTTTTTAACTTGAAGATAACATGTCCAGTACTTCTTATTACCTCAATAAAAACAGCAATAAAATAAAATAAAACAGTTCTTTGCTGTAAGTTTTAAAACTTTACACTAAATGCATGAGTTATCTTTGTTCATTCAGCTATACACAGATTGCAGTCTAAAACTAAATGAAAAAAAAAACTTTTGGAGAATTGAAGTAATTAAAGAAGAGGAATAAACATCTCTAGGAACATCTCAGTTACGGTATCTGTGTTTTTAGCTTTTCCTCCAACTACAGCATCAATTCTGAAAAGGCTGGGACACGGTGTAAATTGTAAATAAAAACAGAAGGTAATGATTTGCAAATCTCACAAACCCATATTTTATTTATAAAAAGAAACATGGTGCAACACCAGTTGTTCCAGGACCACGACTCTGTGAAGCATCACCTCGTTTAACAACTGACTGTCAAACATGGAGGTGCTGAGTGTTTGGAGGACATGTTGTCTCATTCTGGGCTGTTCAACAGTCCTGGGTCTTTGTTGATTTTACATTTCATGATGTGTCAATTGTTTTCAGATGCTGACAGGTCTGGACTGCAGGCAGGACAGTTCAGCACTTTTCCCATCATGTTGGTGTCATGGATGCAGCTTGTGGTCAACGTTGTTTTGCTGAAAAGGCCTTCCATTAAAAAGACACTGTCTGGATGGTTTAAAAACCTACATTTCTACACTGACTGTGCCTTTCCCATGTCATATGCACTAATGCACCTCCATACCATCAGAGAGGCAGGCTTTGTGCTTGTGTGCTGATGGTCCCTCTCCCCTTCAGTACAGAGACTGTGGCATCTGAACAGAATTTCCCATTTTGATTCCAGTTTGCCTCAGTCCAGTCTAAATGAGCTTTGGTTCAGAGAATACTGCATTTCTGGTCTTCACAAATACCTTCTTCTTTGTGTGAAGAGCATTAAGCTTGTATGGCAGGTGCATGGGTCTTCTCTAAGAACAGCGATTTCTCCAGATTCTTGTTGTTTTTGATTATATGAATTTGAACATGTTTTAGGATATTTGAAGTGGACTACATTTTTTGTGGGACATTAAACTGAAATTAAATTATTTTAGATGCAGTTTCCACAGACTGATGAACATTTTACAAGCTTCATCTTCCTTAAAATGTTTTATCTTATCTCTGATTGACCTTAATATAATTAGTTACAAAATGTTTATATTTCTTAGTTAAACCACTTACTTTTACTGTATTTTGGTATTCTGCTCTTGGTCCTGTCTTGTTTTAGATGATTTGCTGCTATCAAATTCAAAATCATATTTTTTATTGGTGAAATTTCTTAAGCATTTATATGTTCAGTTTTGTTTAAGAAACAGAACTGTCCCCCCTTATTTTAATGATGTCAGGAAACTGTTGAACATAACGTCAATAAGATGAAGCACTTCTAACTTCATTAATATTAAATGATGCTCCATATTCACATCAGCACAGCAGATAATTCCAACATTAATGTAGATTAATTTATTTTACATCCTGTCCTGCTTACAGGCAACATTACTGATGATATTTTTCTACCATGACTGTATTTTGAACACATTGTTCAGCGCTGGTAGGTAAAATGTTATTTAGAGATAAATTCCTGAACATGAACCTTGGAGCCTCGCTGATTGTTTCTGCAGCTTTCTGTGTCTAAATTAAATTTGTGCGTTTCAGAGCCGCTGATTGATCCGCGGCGGTGACTCCTCATCTCCCTCCCCGCCCCCCACACACAGACCGACAGGCTCCTCGACCCCCTCCCCCCCCGGCTTCCATCATTTTCCCATCCCTTCCCTACAACAAACATGGCCGCGAAATCCGATGGTGCTCCCGTCTCTCCGCGAAACGAAGCCCCACCCGAGTGTCCCGCCCGCCCGGAGCCGCGGCCCCCACAGCCCCGGGCCGGCGAGCAGCGGTACACCCTGCGGGACTTCTGCTGGACGCTCTGCGCCCTCCTGGTCTTCTTCTCGGACGGGGCCTCAGACCTGTGGCTGTCCGCCGACTACTACCTCCGGCGGGAGTACTGGTGCTTCGCTCTGACTCTGGTCTTCGTGATCGTCCCGTCCGTGGTGGTCCAGGTGCTGAGCTTCCGGTGGTTCGCCTTCGACTTCGCGAGGACCGTGGAGAGCGGCACGGCGGCGGCCGCGGTGGTGGCGGCGGCGGCGTCCGGAGCGGAGGAGGGCGACCTCAGCACCAAGGACAGCGGCGAGTGGGGCGCTGGCCGGGCTGCTGCCGCGGCGGGCACCGGGGGAGGAGTCCGGGGCTGCTGCAGAGCCGTCATGTGGCTCTTTCAAGCCGTCATTCACGTCTTTCAGCTGGCGCAGGTCTGGAGGTGAGTCCGGTCTGACGGTGAGGGCTCACACTGCACGTTGTGTTGTGTTTTGTTGTGTTGTATTGCCTTGTGTTTGTGTTGTGTTATGTTGTGGTTGTGTTGTCTTTTGGTTGTATTGTGTTGTGTTTGTGTTGTGTTGTATTGTGTTGTGTTGTCTTGTGTTTGTGTTCTGTTGTGGTTGTGTTGTCTTTTGGTTGTGTTGTGTTTGTGTTGTGTTGTATAGTGTTGTGTTGTCTTGTGTTTGTGTTGTGTTCTGTTGGTGTTGTGTTTGTGTTGTCTTGTGTTTGTGTTGCGTTTGTGTTGTGTTCTGTTGGTGTTGCGTTGTGTTTGTGTTGTGTTTATGTTGTGTTGTGTTTGTGTCCAGCTCCACTTCCTGTATTTATGAAACCCAGTCTCTCAAGCAGAAACAGGCCAACGGATGTCTTTCTGTTTCTGTATTGTTTGACCCATTGATATATGCTACAAATATATAATATAGTATAATTACAAATATATAATATA